AGTGCGGTGTGAGGCGAGAGGTGCATGGTGCGAGGTGCAGTGAGGTGCAAGGTGCGGGGCGGTGTGAGGTGCAGTGCCCAAAATGGGGATGGGCATAGCTGCAAGCATAGGAGAGCGCACGCAGAGGTGCATCGATGCTCCTCTATCCATGGGGAACAGATGAGTAACAGAGGTGGTACAAGGACTGACCTTGGTGCAAACGGGTGACATCCTTGGTGCTGCAGTTTTCCCGGAGCTGCCACTGACTAGGAGCGCCAGCGACGCGGTTCGGGGAGCAGCATCTTTGAAGGCGCATCCACCGCTCTACTCCAGCTCGCCTGCTGCTTCTGCTCTCGCTTGTATTGCTCAAGTCGGTACCCGAACTCCCCAAGATTAGGGGCGCAGGTGACGCATTTTTGGGTAAGCCAGCACAGTGAACAGTACTCCAGGCGAATTATCCATAAACTGGAGCCCAGAAAAGCAAAAGGTAGCCTATGTGGAGCCCATATAGCGCGCTTGAGTGAGCGCGTCGTCGCCGTCGAAAGCAGGAGCTGTCACTGTGACCTGCGTAACGCTCACATTCATACAAAGTTCACGCCTTCCATCACTCCGAAACCAAAAAAGGAAGGCGTGTGCATTGCGTACAGGACTGGTCGCGAGTCTATTGGGCGTGTGCCGGTTTCGAGGTTGGATCCGTTTGGCGGACACACCGGCGGGCGCCCGAACATAGGTCACTTATGCGGACATAAACAGCCCAATTTGGGCTGACCGGATCCTAGAGGCGGACATATCCGGTCCAAATGTGTGAGGTCACAAGGGCCGAAAATCGGGCACTTAGGATCAAACATCAGTACCCATATGCCGGGGTCCTATCCTTGTGCTGGGTTTGTAAGCATCATGCACCGTATAGTGTGAAAGGCTGAGAAAGGGGCCTCCGGGTTATGCACACCAGTTCCAAAGCCTTACCAGTGCAACCGACCTGAGTCGAGCAGACGAGTGAGCGAGTCAAGCTCGTGATTGGCTCATTCAGAATCGAGCGGTGGAATGTTGCCGCACCCACGAAAAAGTCTAATCGGCATTTCCGAATCTCTGAGTTCAACTTTTGCCACAACCGCGCTGCTATCCAAGCATCTCCTGCTGAAAGTCCTTCGATGCTCCATCTATATCGACAAGCACTCAAATAAAATACATTTACTAGGCAATGACCCGCCAAATTCACCTGGTCGTCTATCACAGCCGCCTGTTCGCCGCTCACTGGTCCTTCTTCGTACCTAGCACCAGGGACGCGAACGTCGGTAGCAGGCTTCACGTCACTGGCGATGTGCGGTCAGGATTCCAGCACGCCATCTCACGTAACTATGACCTGCGTCAGACAGCTCGCAGCCACACGACGTATCTGCTAGCCGACGTCGATGATCAATACGTCGAGGACTATCCATCAGTTGAGGATATCCCAGAGGCGCCAGTAGAGCCTGTGTGTAAGCTTGAAGAAGTGGTTTTCTCCATCCCGGCTCCTGGGCTGAGCCTCAGACGCTCGTCTTCGGTGAGCTTTGGCCGTATCATACCCGAAAGCTCGTCTAATATGAATGGCGTTTGACCAGGGGGCCAACGTGGCGAGGGTCCAGCAGTTGAACTGCCAGGATTGGATCAAGGAATGTGTCGACGTGCTGGTTAGTCGGGGCATATTTCCCAACAGTGCCGTGGACGCACTCAAAAATGCCCCATGGAACTGAATTAAACTCTGTACGCTCTGTGCCACCTATATTTAAGTGCTAAACTGCGACAGCCTCTCAGGGTTATGCAAATGAATGTAAGGCACAGCTCTCTGCCGGGAGGCTAGCTTTCAAGTTGTGAGGATGCTGTGTGTGCCTGCAGACTCAGTCCCAGATAACGGGTAGACATGCTATGCTCAGTAGTTAATACCAGGCCTCTTTGAACGGCATCTATCCGAGCAGATAGGTTCGAGCGCTACAGACTACAAAACACTCCATTAAGCCCACATACTACGAAGCAGATAGTTTTGGATGAATTCTAGACGAGATTCGACTCCTCGCATGCCAAAAATCAGTAGACGATCGTTTACGTAATTCCGTGTTCCAGCACACAAAGAAGACCTAGAAGCAGTGAGAGTCGCGGAATCGGGGACAAGGAGCATGAGGCGACTCAGACGAGTAGCGCGAGAAGAAAGACTATTGGTTCGGTCTTAACCGAGCGGTTAGTGCGATGTCAGTCAAGCTGTGACGCTCCCACACGCGGCTGCGCGCCATACGTGCATCCCTTGTACTCTCGTTCAAGCGGTGGGTGGTGCCCTTTGCCTATCACTGTCTCATCTTTCTGGACGCGTTATCCTTCAGTTTGTGCGACTCCGTGAACTTGGAGCTGTGCTCGGGAAGAGAACTTCGTAACTGCTGTCATTGCAAGCTGGCGTGCCCAAGAAGTCAGGCTCAACCCAGGAGTTTACCATAATAAAATAAACGACAAACGTCTGCAAAAGTCATTATTGTGGGGGCAGGTAAGCCCATACTCTCACTTCATTCATGTGTTATCCCGTTCACCTCACTGTACTTCGGACCAGGTCCGTCTGGCCTGGTTGCTTGCAAGACGCTCCTTGAAGCTGCCACGCACGACTTCCCATTTGACCCCATTGTACTAGAGCAGGAGGACGATATCGGTGACACCTTCCAATATCGATTTTACGAGGTCTGCTATGTTTCGTGTTGCTATCCTCAGTCAGGACTGACGGCTGCAACTGACAGAACACGACTTTAGTGTCATCGAAGCAACTGACCTCTTTCTCCGACTTCAGGCTTCCACTCTCTCACTCTGACCACTTGACGCTCGAGGTAAATATTCGCCCGTGCACTACGTTGCCAGCGGTGAATGCTGAATGCTATTCAGCAATATGTCAACTACCTAAGAGATTACGCATCCCACTTCAATCTATGGTCGAGAATCCATCTTGCGTGCAAAGTAGTCAATATTTTGAAGGACCCACAGGGTGGACATAATGTCTCTTACGTCCGGAAACGCGAAGATAACCCCGCGGAATGGGATTCCGGTAAGTCTCTTGGGCGTCTACCGCAGCATGCCACTCTAATAAACCATATAGAGGCGATAACTATACACATACCTTATCTTGCAATCTGTACCGGCTTACACATTGTTCCCCATGTCCCTGGTATTCCAGGAGGTGACAACGCCCTGAAAAATAACCCCGAAGCGAAACTTTTTCACTCGTCTGAATACAAGTCTCGGGACCAGCTAAGAGGGAAGAAGATCCTGATCTTTGGCACGGGAGAAACAGGGATGGACATTGCTTACGAGTCTGCCAAGGCAGGGGCGAAGGAAGTGGTGCTTTGTTCGAGGGCGGGGTGAGTAGCTGAGTGTTTTGTACAGCGCTAAGGCTAACCCGGTAGGTCAGGTTCTTGTCTTTCCCGAAAGCACTTGTCAGCCCTGTCTCGGTGCTGAGTTTGTTGCTCCACAGAATGACTTTTCCCTACTCGGCTTCAAGTTTGAGTCCAAGAGCCCGGTGCCCATCGATTCGCTCATCACGAATCTCGGAGAGACCGCGTATGTAGTAGGTACCTCCACATCTCCCTTCAAGCTCACAGCAGTCTCCCGCAGCATCCATGGGTAGCAAAGTCGCATACCCGATGGTTGTGAGTATCTCGTGATTTTTCTGCTCCCTTCGACTCTGAGCTGATGCGCTTGTGCAATAGCATCTCGGACTTCGTCATCAAGAGAGTGCTCTGGGTATTGACAGGTATGAATATCTCGATACATCCCAGCACGGACCCAGCGCTTATGGATAGGAAGGTACGCAAGCAGGCTGCAACCAGTGGGTACGTACCACTACGCGAGGCAAGCTGGCCACGAACCTAATGCCTTTTATGAGATAGGTCGGCGAACTCGAGCCAGAGCGCCTAGGGCGTGCCGACGTCTTTCTCAACAAGGTTTCACTATGTCTTTGTTTCCCGTCGTGCGCTGCTCATAGTAGTCTAGTCCCACAAAGCCTTGCCATACATAAATCGTCCCTACCGCCGCTGACCCACCTTCATGGACTATCTCTCGCGGTACAGTGATCCAGACGAGGATATGCCCCCGCAGACGGATTTCACGGTCGAACTGGCTCCCTTCTCCTCGCACTTCACAGAGGGGGGTCGTGCCATCTCTCCTCTTGACTTGGACAAGCGCAGTAGGCCAAAGCGCAAGGATGCAGTGCGGATCCAGGGGAAAGTTGTTAAGCCGAACTTGGTAGCATATGCCACCGGTTATGAGCAAAAATTCGGTTTCCTAGGCGAAGGGTATAAGACGCCTGGGGAAGCGGATGTGAGGAACATATGCTGGAGCGGGGATACCAGCGTGGCATTTATAGGCTTCGTCAGGCCGGGTGTTGGTGAGTACTCCACTTCTCATCGCTCATCGCATTCTCTGCAAGACGGAATACTGAACAAAACCCGCTATAGGCGCCATCCCACCGATATCCGAAATCCAGTCTATGTTCTGGGTCTTGCTTCTCAGAGACCAGGTTTGTAAGCCGCTTCGTGCGGCACATTATCACCTGCTCGTGAATGAGAACACCAGAATCAAATATGGCGTGGACCATTCAACTTATGTCAGTACGCTCGCCAAGGACATAGGCGCGGCTCCCGGGCTGCGAGAGGTGTGGAGGGAGTATGGATGGCACGTGGTACTATGCTACTGGTAAGCAAACGACATATGCCCCGTGTATGGCTCATCGAATGCCTCTGCAGCTTTGGCGCAGTGTTTATCCCTTTCTATCGCCTAGTCGGTCCTTCCAAGTCGCCCGTTGCGCCCGTGATTATCAAGACGGAGTTGTGGGATACCATCACGAGGAGAGGTCTCATCGGGAATATCATAGGCTCGTGACCATCCTGTCGTACCGCTATTGAGGACAGAATATCGGTAGACAGGCTGGTACATTTGGCGTGGGAATCCAGTATACGCGTCGTTAACTCTAATTCGCCGACCGGCTGCTTACATTTTGGCAGCTGAGTTTGTCTGAGTTGAATTTTCGCCCTGTCCTCACGTTGATCGGAATCTGACTAGAAAGAGTTTTGTAGTCCGCAAGATCTCGAGACTTAGCGTGTCCCGAGACGAATTCCTGCAGCCTTCCCGTGCTGTACAGACCCTATAGACATCAAGTTTCTCTTGCCATGATAGCTGCGCCAGGAAAACATCAGAGAGCGCGGGTAGTCCCTTCGGTAAGGCATAAGTAATGAAAAATAAGTCCCGAGTTCGTTTTCCAAGGTCCCGAAGGTAGACATCTATGGCATTAATCTTGTCCTTGATTATAGGAGTATATTATATCCAAACATCAAACGAGCGAGCGGCGAGGAGCAAGAGACTTCGCAGCCGGCGCGACTTGTAGTCCGACTACAACATTTCTAATGACACTACCTGTCAGTAGAGGGCCATTGCTATGCATGGCAGGACACGAGTCCTGAGTTGTGTCTGATAAGTGATAGCATTGGGTGTATAAATGTTCCAATTGATGTATACATCACTCTTTCTTATGCACATATCAAAAGCCCTTAGATCTGTATGTGCAATGTCCCCTTCATTCATACTTTGCCCTCCTGTGGCCCTGCCATCATTATACCATAAAAGTCCCTGCCACTCTGACAGATTCAGAGTTGGTCTGTATTGGTGGCTACAAAATTGTATTTTTGCCCAGCCAAGGGGATAGTAGCAGCTGCACTACTAGACACAAGTAACATAGATCAAAGTGCTCCTCTGCTGCCAATCAAAGATTGGCAGCTCTGTCACACAGGTCATTTGTCCCCAGTGGAAGAGACAGTCAATAATACCTGCAGACTCTAGGTAACATCCAACCAGAACCAGAGTGCTCATCCACTGCCAATCGAATTGGCAGCTCCCTCACACTCATTTTTCCTGAACCAAGCTGAAGGACAGTCGTTGGAAAGGATACTCAAAGAGTACCCCAAGCAGCTGGGAGCAGAAACAAAATACATATTACACATGTACTAGTTTCAGTTTCTCAAGGGGACATATAGAGACCATTGAGCAGAAGAAATCAGGGTTCAAGAGGCAGCAGAGATTGAAAAACACAGGCCCAAGATGCCTGTGACCAAAGACACTTGTATCATAGTCTCTGCCACCCACACGTCGACTCAGACCATGTGTGTGAAAAAACATCAATGTTGAGACTAATTCCTGCAGTAACAATCCATCAAACT